ATGCTTGGTAGGGTGGAGGGACAGCACAGGAGGGGAAGGCCCTCTATGAGGTGGATTGATTCAGTGACTGGGGTAATCAGGATGGGTGTATTGGAGACAGTGCGATTGGCACAGGACAGAGCAGAGTTTAGGGATGTTGGACACAGGGTCGCTATGAGTCGCAAGCGACTTGACGGCACATAACAACAGCAACAACAACAATGAGGATTTTGGTGACTCTTAAGTTTTATGAGTATGACAATTGGTCTCACCCCAGTTCCAGTCCTGCTTTATCGTCTTATTAATAGCAGAGGAGACACAGAATTTGTTTGATGATGATGATCAGGCAACCTGAGCCGGACTTCTCAGGAAGATGGGCATTGAACTTCTGGTCTCAGAACAGTGTCCTACTTCATTAGGCTGTCCCTACGGTTATCTTTTAATCTTAAACTCTGAGAGGCCAACGCTTCACTCTTGGTGTACTTTTGCTGTCTACTTTTAGGCATTAAGAGAAAGGAATGACAAGAGGAGGTGACTAATAATGAATAGATAAATGATACTTTTATTTCTGGAGAAAAATGTTTCTTTTCTCCAATAGGATTGTCTCTAAAATACCCAGAAGAGAATATTCAAAGGATTTTTTAAATTATAAACTCAGTTGTGATTTTATTTAGTGGATAATGTACAGCCCATAAGGAGCCTCTATGGCATGGCACATATTTTATCAGGCTGCTTTGAGGCTGTCCATTAGCCATGACAAGGGAGAAAAGATAGGCAATATTTTCCCATAAAGAGTCACATCCTCGGAAACCTAGTGCTGGGTTGTTGAGTCAGAGCTGACTTAATGGCAGTGGGTGGGTTTGGGGCTCAGTTCACTTTGAAACTGATGTATTTGCATGAAAATCTCCCACACCAGCAGTTCAGTCAATAGAGACCTTTACTTCAGCTCTTACTTATTTGCTTATTTTTAATGAGGCAGTTTAGATAACCTATTATATCTTTATTTCAAAGATGCAGTTGATTTTAAGGTAACTCATTTGTTTAAAAACAATTTTCCAGATACATTCTGGCCAACCTCTAAAATTTTGAAATGCGACAGACAGGTACGTTAAGAATCAGAAAAATAGTACACATTACTGCCTTTGCTGCCAATACCCACACATTCCTAACTTGTACAGCCCCAGCTGGCCTCATAATTTAGCTGTAGTTAGTGTACCAGTGACACCCTCCTTTCCCACACCAGCTCCATTGTTCTTTCAGAGTAGGAATATCTTTGCCTAAAACTGCATGGCTCACAAATGTCGACTTTGAATGAATTAGATATCTTCGTATCTGTGCAAATAGCTCTCTAAGGGAAGAGAATATTAAAAATTAAACTCACTTGTGTTCGTTGCAGAAAATGTAGCAAATATACATGTTACTGCTCTCTCAGTGGTTCTCTCTCTAAGTCTGTTTCCATTGTCTTCTTTCCTCTAGGGATTCTTTAGAAGGAGCCAGCAGAACAATGCCTCTTACTCCTGCCCAAGGCAGAGAAACTGTTTAATTGACAGAACCAACAGAAACCGTTGCCAACACTGCCGACTGCAGAAGTGTCTTGCCCTAGGAATGTCAAGAGATGGTAAGGCATTGACTTCTATTTCTTACTTTAATGCTTTCAAATGGATGATTTGCAGAGTCTGCTTAAACTCCTGGTAGGATTCTAGATGAGGGAATGAGAAACAAAAATGCAACCACAGTTTTGATAGTGCATCAAAAGGAAAAGGGGGGGGGGAAATGTAAAATATAGTATTCTCTGTAAAGAATAGACATCTTTGCCTGCAGCTCACAGAGTTTCAGTGCTAACGAGGTTAAGTAGAAGCCGTCCTAGCTTGTAGGGTGACCAGCTGTCCGGTTTGCCTGTGAATGAGGGATTTCCTGGGACAAGAGACTTTGCATGCTGAAATAGGAAAGCTCCATACAAACCAGAACAACTTGGCCATCGGCTAAGTCTGTGTACAGAAGTTGCTGAAGTTGCTGAGTTTGTTAAGATGCAAAGACCAGAACATGCTTCTAAAAGTCTAAAAGCTCTAGTCTCGACTCTAGCTGGTCTCCGCTACTTGGATAAGGATTTTGACTGGTCTGTGCCTGCATCGCAGATTGCAAAGGCTAACTTGCAAAGTCAAAGCCTACCTTCACCTCTAGCCTGCTTGAGTGATTTGATTCCCTCCCTGACACTCCTCTATTAATAAAAGGGAACAAATAAATGCAAACAAGATGGATAAGGAATTCCATCTTTAAGCACCTACCCAGACTAATTCTCTTCCCATTCACCTTGCCCATAGTACTTCCGTACCAGATTATAAGTGCCCTGAGTCATGGTGCTATTTATGTCTTGTCCCACTGTGTCTCTAGGATTTATTAAGAACTTAAGTATACACTGAATAACTATAGACATTTTTTCCAAGAGCCTGAGGCACAGACAATGCCCTTGACACAGTGCCTCTTTATAAGAATCACTATGGATTCTGTACCCCTAGTCAAACTCCCTCTAGTAAAGTTCACAGGACAGTAAGTGTTTTAAAAGGAAAGAAGCTTCCAAGTTTTAAACCAATAGATATTCCTACCATGCACTAGATAGTCATATAACATGGTCTCATGAGTTCTTAAGGTAAATGTGAGGCTGTTGAGCCTTTTGGATAAAGTCTATCACTAAAGCTCTTTATATCTAAACATATAAGCTACTTACTGCTTAACTTGCCTCCTTCAAACAATTACATTTTGAATTTTGGTTCAACTTTTCTCTAAAATTAAACCTTACGTAAGAATACACCTGCGTTCTTCTGTCTGTTCTTCCATTCACTCTGTTACAATATGTAGTTAGGATTGAAGTGAAGGTAATCCCCAGTTACAATGTATTCAAGCTACAATGCTTATGACTGTCCATTTTTATAATTATTTCTGTGTTTTTTTAAGTATTGAAATATATCTGTAAATTTATGTTTAATATTTCTAACTCCCAAGTATTTACATCTGGAGAAAGGATGAAAGTCATGCAAATGTTGAGGACTTTCATTCATAGGGTTTCTATGAGTCATCTGTGACTTGACAGCACTTAACAACAACAACAAGCATTTACGTATGAATACTCCTTTATATGTAATATTTTCCGATTCTCTAAATCCCCAAATCAAACTTACAAAGATATAAAAAAGGCAAAAATAGTTAAAGCTAAAAAATAAAAAGTACACCAGTGAAGTATACTTGACCTTCTCATATGAAGCAAGAGAAGTTGCCTAAGAGAGGCCTGTAGTTAACTCCAAGGTGCCTGCATACACATTTCAGAAGCTGTCTTGACTGTATTCTGTTATTAACCTGGATTATAACCTTTTGACTCCTCACTAAAAAAAAAAAAAAAGATAAGCTTGTAGGTAGCCCTGGTAGATTGCCAACCTAAAGGCACACAGTTCTAACCCAACACTTGCTCTGTTGGAGAAAACCAGGCAATCTCCTCCCATGTGATATATGTCCTCTGAAAACCCACTGGAGGGTCAGCTAAGAGTTATTTATGACTCAGTTATACACAGCCAGCAACAACAGCTTGCAACACCATCAAATAAATAAAAAAGTTTCACAGTTTGGAGGGTGGAGGGAGAGGAGGAAATAAATGGGAAGGACCCGGGTGAAAAGACAGAGTAATGATAAGCAAGGTCCAATGGTGATTAATTTTATAAAACATAATGTTTCAAGCTTAGTCTGACATACTTTGGACATGTTTCAAGGAGGGACTGGTCCTTGGAGAGGTACATCATGTTTGGGAGGGTGGAGGGACAGTGCGGGAGAGGAAGTCCTTCTATGCAGTGGGTTGACTCAGTGACTGGGGTAATGGGGGTAGGTGTGTTGGAGACAGTGAGTCTGGCACAGGACCAAGCAGGGTTTAGGGCTGTTGTACATAGAGTCTCTATGAGTCACAGGTGACTCAACAGCACATAACAACAACAACAACAATATTTCAATATGGATTGAAGCTCAACATAAAAAAAAGAACAAAAATTCTCACCATTGGGCCAATTGGCAGCATTATGATGAATGATGAAAAGACTGAGATTGTTAACAGCTTTAGTTTGCTTGGCTCCACAATCATCATTCTCAGTGCCAGCAACCAGGAAATCAAGAGACAAATTGCATTGAGAAAGTCAGCTGTAAGGGACTTCTCCAGAGTATTGAAGAGCAACAACATCAGGCTGGAGACTAAAGTGCACCTGATCCAGGCCATAGGCTTTGCAATTGCTTGTTATGCATCAGAGATCTGGACAATGACTAGGGATGATAGAAAGAGAATTGATGCCTTTGAGCTGTGATGCTGGAGAAGAGTGTTGAATATACCATGGTCTGCCAGGAGAACAAACAGGTTCATCCTAGAGAAGGTGAAGCCAGCCTGCTCCTTGGAGGAAACTTTGGGCATGTGGCAGCAAAAAGACCAATGATTTGAGAGAGATATCATGCTTGGAAGGGTGGAGGGATGGAGAGAGAGAGGGAGACCATCATGAGATGGATTAATATAGTGACTGGGGTAATAAAGGTAGATGTGTCAGAGACAATAAAGTTGACACAGATAGATCAGGTTTCAGGTCCATGGCACATAACAACAAAAACAACAACAATGTATTAAAATGATTATATGAAATACAATGTGAATGAAGAATAATGTGCAAAACAATGTGTATGAACTTTGTAATCAAACCAATAACAAAATAATAATAATAAAAACCCAAACACCCCAAAACAAAATTAGTTTTACCTTTAACTCTTTAGCTTCTATGTAGCTTTTCAAGCTTCAGAATTATGTTTCTAAAACTTTCCAACTATCACCTAACTGGTGTTTAATTTGTCTATGCTTTTTCCTCTGGGTTTACTACCCACAGAAATTATTCCTGGAGAAAGTTGTACCTTTTTGTACTTCCCTACAACTAAGGCAAATAGAGTAAGGTATAAGGGCTAAGTGATTTTCACTGGGACTCATGTAGTGAAATTCTATAGGAGTTTGCATTGATAACTGTGCACCTGAGACTTATTATGTGAAGACAGCCTGTTCGTTTACAGCAACTGAAAAGCTTCCATTAAAATTTTGCAAAGGAAGTAAATGGTTTAGTTCTTGATTTTTTTTACTTATTCCTGCAATGAAATGAAATTTTCATTTAGAAGAGTCTACACTGATGAAGAGAAGTAGTGGGTAAGAATGGGTATTTTGTAGAACAGCTCTGCAACATCAGCACATGGCATCTTGGACCTTGATTGAATCATATAACCAACCAAAAAGAAACATGGAGAAGAGAGGAAGCCATTTAATGGATGGCACCACAGTTTATTCCAAAGGATGAGGAGGGTTTAAAATGCACTGCCCTACACGGACTTCTGCGTAATTAAAAAGTAATACAACAAGTAAGGATACTGGTAGTTAATACAAATGATCAGTCTTAACTTGAGATCCAGAGGCACTCCTGAGGCTGTCTGGGACATCTTCCAGAATGCCTCCAGAGCTTGTCTATGTTATGCTAATGATGAGGTCAAGTAGAGAGGGGCGTGAGTGGTAGTTAGAAATGAGAAGGGGAAAAATATTCTCTCTGAAGGGAAAGAAGCTGCTTCTTTTCATTTCTAGTGGAAAAGTCTGATTGATTGTCAGGTACAAATCCATTGTGACTGAATCAACTCCAACTTGTATGGTAGAGTAGATCCAGACTCTGTTATGTTCTCAGTTGAGTTTTGTTTTGTTTTTTTTCAAGGTGTCTCTGCATAGATTAAAACCCACAAACGTTTCATTAACAATCATCTATGTTAACGGGCTGTATTTCCCAAGAACTCCAATTATTATAAGGAATATTTTGTTTCAAATAATTCATATTAATGCAAGAGATGCAGAACATAATTTACCTCCTTTATGAATAAATGTCTGATACAAGGTGCTGAAGGATTTGAAGTCTCTGAAGTTATGTTGAGGTGGATTGACACAGTGACTGTGTCAGAGATGGTGAATTTGGTTCAGAGCCATTGTTAATAGTGTCACTGAGTCGTAGATGATTCGGTGGTGCATAACAACAACAGAAAGGGCTCAAGAATGGGTTACGACTTCTTCTGTCACATATTGATTACATCTACTTCCTATTGACTTAGTAAATTCTTCCAGAGTACCTTGGCAGAAATTGCAGTGGCCAAGATAAGGCCCTTCAACACCTCACTCTCTTTCACACCTTTCCCCTTTCCCCGGAGATAAAATAGTATCTTCATTTTGATATTCACATTTATTCTCTGTCAGTCACCCTTGAATCCTAGAAAGTTCCTTCCCCATATCTAGTCACTATAATATGATCATGAGTAAAGAGCTTGATCTAATATCTAAAATCACTGGCTTTCATTATTTCCCAAATTCCCATGTGCTGCCAACCCAAAGCCTCCTGGCTTCTATCCACCAGCTGCTCCAAGGGAGAAGGATAGACAGTCTCCTCCTGTGTGAAGCTCTGCCTCTGAAAACCCACTGGAGGGCCAGCTGAAAGTGGGTTGCAACTTCATGGTACACAACAACAGTGACACTGGTTTATGAGGGAGCTCTGGTGCATAGTGCGTAAAGTGTTATTTTGACAAACC